AGAAAGCTTTGGCTTTCTGGATAAAGGGGATTGGACACAGCTGTGGTATTTTTCATTCACTCTTATCCCTTCTTCCTGTCTGGAAGATGGAGGCAATGCCAGCATACGTAGCAACCACCTTGGCATGAACTCCCCAGCCGCCCCCCGCCCAAAAAAACCATGACAGAGCCAAAAGATGGGAAGAGTTTGGTTCCTTGATGATTTCAATGAACCGCTACACCAGCCCTGCACTGCCTACCTCTGGACATCTTGCTATGTGAGAAATATAAGCCCCTGTAGGCTTACGACACTGTAAGTCAAGCTTTCCTTTTTTTTTTTTTTTTTGTAGCTGAATGCAATCCTGAGACTGTCCTTATATGTTCTGAACTTCAAAAGAAAAAGATCCCCTTCAAAAGGATGTGTTACAAACACTCCAATATCATTAAAATATGATTTGGAGATTTCTAATACACGACCCTGTTTTAGACTACTTTTGGTTTTGGTCCTTTTGGTTGGCGTTTCATGTTGGCTCACTTTATCAGTCAGGATAAACTAGGTTGTAATGCAGTAACAAACAACCCCCCAAATCTCAAACCGCCTACCGCTGGACTTCTTGATGTGTGAGAAAACAAACACCTGTATGTTTAAGCCCTTGAAAGTCAATGTTTCTGCTTCTTATAGCTAGGTGCAGTCCCTACTAATACAGTCTTGCTTATTCTTGAATTGAAAAGGATGTGTTACCTGCAATCTGTGAATGTTTTCAGGTTTTCTTATGAAGGGTTATCTAGAGAGATGATTCCATATTAATACTTCCTTAAGAGTTCCCAGTGAACTTCCCACAGTCAGCTCCACCCATCTGAAAAAAGAAAACCTGCTAAAAATGTCTTTTACCACATTTTCATTCTCTTTCCCCTTTCCAAACTGAAGAACTCTCTAAAAGAAATCCTTTAATAAAAATATAAAGCCCCCATTCTGCGATTTTTTTAAAGCCTGGTTTTCATGCCTTTTGGGGGTACCTGGGACACGTTACAGAAGAAAATCTGTTGGAAATAAAATGAAGAGAAGAGAATATACTGCGGTTCTGAAAACTTTATGAAAGCCTTGGAACTAGCTATGAGACTACTTCCCTATCCTGAGAATTTTACATAATGTGGCTGAAGTCTCTCAGAATGCAAAACACGTTAGAAACTGTAACCTGCTTAACGTTAACCTTGACAAATTCAGGTTCTGTCTTGTGAATGAATGAATGCCTCCACTCTTGAGAACTCTAGACCTTGAACATCTAAGTTGAAGTAGGATGGCAGAAAGTTATCTTTATCTTTCTCTCTCCTTCCACCTTCCATCCCATCCCCATTCTCTCTTTAAATCTTTAACAGATTAAGTGAATGACTTTGACAAAAAAATCTAATGAGAAAGTGTTTTCAAAAGCACTTTTGGATTCCTCACTTCTCACCACTGGTGCTTCCCGGAAGGACAGCACTTTGCTTTATGACCATGTATTGATCTCTAATATCTTTATTGAACGTTGTCTCTTCTTTGCCTCCTACAGGCAAAGGGTGAGAGTTAGATAATAGTATTAATTTTCCAGACATCTGCACACGTTTAAGTGGCCTTTTGAAGTTTGAAAATCGTTTCTCTGTGAGCCCACCACAGGGCTAAAATGCCATTAAGGTCTCGACTGGAACAATACATAACAATCATAGCTGAAGAGCTCGGCTTGGCAATGAAAAGAAAACTCATTTATTTTGGTGGAGATTGAAATTAATGGAAGGTCCTTGCCCAACCGGTGCCAATGCCTCCAGGTTCTGGAGGTAAATGACAGGAATCAGGATGGCTGAAATCCACCCATCCAGGCTTCCCTGGTGGCACAGTGGTTGAGAGTCCGCCTGCCGATGCAGGGGACACGGGTTCGTGCCCCGGTCCGGGAAGATCCCACATGCCGCGGAGCAGCTGGGCCCGTGAGCCATGGCCGCTGAGCCTGCGCGTCCGGAGCCTGTGCTCTGCAACAGGAGAGGCCACAACAGTGAGAGGCCCGCGTACCGCAAAAAAAAAAAAGAAAAGAAATCCGCCCATCCTTGTTCACGTGTGTGGAAAGTCAGAGCCGGGAGAGGTCTCCATGTCACATGCAACGTGACGTGGAGGGTCGGGGAGCAGTCAAGTAATGGTGTTCATAAATATTTTTTAGCCATGGTTCATTGTGTAAGATCATAGAAGCCTGTGGTCCCCTTGTCAGAATAATGTTTTGCAACGTGTAAAATAGATGACATAGGGTTATAAAGGAAACTGATTATATTGAGGTCCAGTTGCTAAAATATTGAAAACATATATGACATAGTAATACATGTGCCTCATTTCTGAAGCATAAAATAACAAGCTCAAATGGAAGTTCTAAGTTATTTTTTATGTAATGATTCCAATATGAAATTTCTAGAGATATTTTCAAAAACTGTAATGTGACATGAAGATGTCTGTGATTTCTGTCAGTGACGAAGTCACCAGTTGATACCACTGAAGTTTGATGTCTGCATTTGTAGCTGAAGGAAATGCTAAATTTTCGTTCAAGTTTAGTGGAACTAAAGCTGCCTTTTCTTCCTCAGAGTTCACGAATGCTCTGAATTCTATCCATGGAATTAACAAGCCCTGAGAATCTGTATTTTCTGTTTCCTGGGAATTGCATGTCTGTGTAGTCACAAGGACAATTATTTGTCCTTGTAACTACTCATTCCTCCCAGTGGAATAAGTGCAGAGTTTAATATTAGACTTTAGAAAATATTTGGATGACTATACTTCATATTTGATGTTACCCCTGATCATTTCTTAACGGAGCATATACCCCGAGTTTGAGTCTGTGGGTCGTCTGGTGACAGCCACACTGCTTTTTTCTTGGCCCTCTTACAACTAATAACAGTGTAGGGCTAGAAGCACCTTGAAAGGTTTGTTTCTCCGCCTTCGTACAAGGCTTCCTGGGCAGGTGTTGAGACCCTACCAGAGACAATGACATTTTCACTGGCTCTACCCAACTTGCCACGGTCACCACACAGAGGTACCTGCTTTATAATCTGACATCTGAAACTCTCTGAGAGGAAAGGAAAACAGGTTTCAAGGAGTCTTGCATATATTTGCCTTAGGACTCAACATTGGTTCCCCCATGGAACATAGTTTTAAGGGACAGTAACTTCAAATTAACTCCTATAGGAATGTAATTATCAGGGACTTTCTTCAAATTTGAGAAAAGGAAGATTTAAAACCAGGAGAATGTCTTATTTCTTGTGGCATAGTAGAGAAACTGGTTTAGCTTGCCCCGTTTCGTAGTGATAAAGCAGCATTTGATAGCAGCAGCCCGTGTGATAAAATGATTATGGCAGCAGTGAGAATCTAATCAGAGAATTGATCTGCAGATTCCAATTCTGTAAGAGCCAACATCAGTCAACATAAATGTCAATAATGAGATCGGATTGAGAGCTGCCCAATCCCTTCAGATGATTCTGGGGTCTAGTGACAAATCAAAGAGATAAATGTGAAAGGGAATTGAAGACTCTCACAGTCACTCCATTGACAAGCAGCAGGCTACACGGTACTTTGGTGGCACATGACCGAATGGGTCCAGGCTAAAATTAATTGAGACAGATTGTTAAAGGATTTTCATATTGTAAGATATGTGGTACCAGTACCATGTGGTGTAATATAGTAACAGTTGTTATTGTAACTGGTAATTTATAGTTAGTCATGGCAGTTGAGGGAGGGGGCAGGAGAAACTTAGTGCACTTATTTATTGTACCTCCGGGAGGCCATGTCTAGAGAGTGCAGTAGCAAAGGAAACTGTCAGTTCTCAGGAAACGTTATATGGGATAGAATTCTGAAGTCATCATTTGCCATTTTATACACCTTTATCGATTGTCTGTCCAGGGTTTTTACTAAGAACTGGTCCTCAACCCTGTATCATGTTAAGGACCATGGACAGCAACAGGACAAGAGTCAGCAAGTGAATTTCAGGATCAAGAAAACCAGGGAGCATTAAGGCGTGTGGAGCTGCTAAGGAGTAGGGCAGGGATTCAGTGGGGTGGGCAGAGAAAGAAGAATGTGAATATAAAATGTCGCTCTGCCCACTGCCACCTGGGGCCATCTTGCTGCCTTAGCAGGAGACTCCTCCCAGATTTCCTGTCTAGGCAGGACTTCCTTTCAGGGCATGGGTGGCCGTCCTGTGGGGACAGAAAAGGGGATACATGAAAACAGGCAGCAACTTTGAAGTCGCTCCTGGCATTCTGATTGTAAAGCAACTGTGACTTAGAATTGACAAAACTGACTTTTCCTTGCGATATGTTTTTTTGTGTGTGTGTGTGGTACGCGGGCCTCTCACTGTTGTGGTCTCTCCCGTTGCGGAGCACAGGCTCCAGACGCGCAGGCTCAGCGGCCATGGCTCACGGGCCCAGCCGCTCCGCGGCATGTGGGATCCTCCCGGACCGGGGCACGAACCCGTGTCCGTTGAATCGGCAGGCGGACTCTCGACCACTGCGCCACCAGGGAGGCCCGCTCTATGTATTTTTTCTACCTCCGTCAGGTACCCTCTGTTGACACTTTCTGGAGTTTCAAATGGTCATTACTTATGTGCTACCAAAACGGTGGTTCTTCAGTGGAGGTGATCCTCATATTAGGAAGCTGTTTCACGACTGTTTGCAGGGGCAGGCAAGTGTCACTACTTGAGGATAGACAGGGAGGAAAAAGCATACTACTCTGTTATTGAAAAATTAGGTTAAAATTCAAAATTCCACTTTTACCCCAGTTAGGTTAGTAAAGGTAACAAATCAGATCCTTGTGTGATTAAGGGGTGTCTTTCAGAGTCTAATGATTATCAGAGAAGGTGATATCCAGGGCCCACTTCGTGGGTGTGAACCTGTGCAATCACATAGGGGCTTAGAAGGGCCCTGTGCGTGATTTAACGCTGTTCTGCCACCATCTTGAAATTCTTAATGTCTTTTTCACAAATGGGCCCCTGCACTGGGCTCCACAAATGACGTCACTCGTCCTGAAAAAAGCTAACATTTATTGAGCATTTAATATGTCCCAAGCATTTTAATGAATGGAGTCCCTATCACAGCCTTATAAATTCGGGAGTTTCTTCTCTTGAGCATCCAGTCTTCCATAAACTCCTGTGAACTAATATTGTTATTATTATCTATGAAGGAAACTAAGACTTAAAAGATGAAGTAATTGCCCCAAGCCACACAAAGCCAGAATCTGAACCCGAGCAGTATAACACCTGGGGCCATGTGCTGTCTGGGAGAGTAGCTAATTTGTGAACCTGAACCCAGGATTTACACTGAATGTTGAACAGCTGACTTTGCAGTTATTATCTTCTTTGTTTTAAATATGCCAACGAATCAAGGGTTTGGGTCCATTGGATTCCAGGTAATTGAGGTGTTTCAGTAATACAGTGAACGTGGCTCATGGACCTGAACTCACACTTGATGACACACTGGACGAGATATCTTCCGTGACTCAACCACCAGCTTTCTGAATAAGTGATTCACATCTTAACACAATGACGATACTTTTATGCACTCAAGTTAGAGGGTGTCTCATTTCATTAGTTTTCGATCAATAGAAAAGTATTTATGAAAAGAACTACAGCATCCCACAGAAAACAGCTGAACAAGAAAACAGAGATTTATATGGAATAAATGATTTGAAGCCCCTGGAATTATTAACATGGGGCATTTGAGGAGAAATATTTGTGGTTTCCAACTTACAGTCTGAGAAGAAAATTATTATCTTTAAAACTAACTAACTAGTAACAAGTGTTCAAAATGGATCCTGAATTCTAAATAATAATTACTTCTTGGCAATTTGAACTTTCCCATAGTTTCACAAATGAGTCTCAGGGCAGTTTCTTGTCTCTGTAACGCTTTGTAATATTTATAGATCTATAACTAATTTCTTTGTAACAGTTATTTATAGATCTCTAGCCAATTCCTCTGAAAAATAAGAACTCGCTTTTGGCATTCTCTGAGATTGAAAATGTTGCACACGTTATCACATGAAAGGAAGCTCAGAGAAAGATTAGTTCGCATCTTTTAAGAAAGTTTCCGTCAAAGCAGTTTATGAAAATCAATACATCTGTAGGGATTTGAGAACACAGAATAATTTTAGGATTATGGTAACTGGTGACTGTCTCAGAAGAAAATAGAGAGATTATGTTATTTGTATTTATGCATCAAATATCCATTTAATACTTCACAATTTCCACCCTGGGAGATTAGGAATTTCTCTTTCGACCTTCTTTCTGGGTGCCTGGTTCACAAATTCATAGTGTTTACTGAACATGCTTGATGAGAACAAAGTGTTCTGTGCCTGCTGAGTCTCAAGCAGAAATGGTAGAAGCATTGTTTTATGTCTTGTGGAGGATATGCCTTTTTACTGAATTTTCTGATGCAGTTGTAAACCCCCTAATCTGTCATACAGATGTCTGTAATATCATATCATGTACTTTTCTCTTGGATGTTACAGCTGAATCTTTAGTCAACTTACTAGAGGATTTGCTGGGGAAATCGAGGAGCAGTTTTGACTTGAAATTCTGGTGTCATTTCTAGCTCAGATTTTGTTTTCAGCAGCTGCTCCTAATTGCTTGAAACACACACACACAAAATTGAAATTTAAATATAGAATATATTTAGCAAACTGACAGAAAAATAAAAATAAATCCACTCGACTTGATAAATCCTACGTTAATAGCTGGAAACTACCATTTGCCAAGAAATGACTTAGCTCAGTGAAATGTATTTTACAGCTAATCCTTTAATGTCTGTTTTACATATTACCCTTCCCACTGTTAATATTGAACAATATTGTAAGCTAGTAATTTTATGCCCTATATTTCAAGTTGCTATTAGGAAGCTACATAAATAACAGTTTTCAACTGATTGTTTATAACACCCTGAGGCATTCCTTACCATGGGGTAAAGTAAGAGTGGATTTAAAAAAAAAACTGCTGTGGGGATGAGCTACAGAGAAACTGTGACTCAGATCTGTAGCAACAAAGCCTATAAAGCCAGCCGAAGTCATGAGTCTGAAACCCTGATAACAACAACTTCATATTAACTATCAAAGGAGCTGAGGCTACAGGCCTTCGCCGAACATTCAGCCAGAAACTGCCTTTACTTGACACGTCTTCACAAATGTTGTGAAATGAATTGGACTCTCCAGCAACTTGTCCCACTAGAACCAGGACTTCGGGCTGTAAAATACAGATGAGGGCTCATCACGGAAGTCATCTTCATCAACGCTCTGATCTATGTCTTACCCCAAACTCCCTGCAGGGAAAGACTGTGAGAGTGACTCTTACAGCCTGTGAAGGTCCCAGTGGTTATGTAATCTCCCAGACTCTGCATTTCAATTTGTTCTCATCTGTCCTTTAATCATGGCAGGTGGCACCCATCTTATAAATAATTCTGCAGGATTTTTTTTTTGGGGGGGTTCTCCGAAACACTGACAAGGCACTTTCTCTTCCTAGAAGATTCTCTTCTAGTGTCAAACAGTAGTCATTTGATGTTAACGTCTCCTCATCGAAGTTGCAAGAACAGAGCGGGACCCAGGTCTGGCTTCCTGCTGGCAGCCTGGATAATCATAGAACACTCTGGCATCACAGGAGGAGCCACTCTAGTTCTTCAGGATTAGTGACTAGAGATCTCTGGGTTGCAGGCAGCTCTCTGCACAGCCCTAGCATGCGGCGTGAGTGAGGACCCTGGTTGGAAACCCCTGGCACCCCTTTCAGGAAGAAGCATGACGAGAAGGCTAGAAGCTGTGGGTGTGTCCTCTGTGTTCACATTTGCTTAGGGACCCTTCCTGTCTCTTCTTCCAGTGCTTGTTTACGTACCTAAGGGCCATGGAGGCCCACAGCCAAGTTCAGCATTTGAAAAAAAATGTGTGGTGGGCAGAAGAAGAGGGGAGGAAACTTGTATTTTGGAGAGAGTGATGGGTTCAAATCCCAGCCTCTCTACTTTCTCACCCACCGTGTGACTTGCCACAGGTCCCTTGTTGCTGAGACATCCCTCTCCCCGCTCTCCTCCTTTTGAACTCGCCTCTGTCGTCTTGCTGAGCCATATGCAGAAAAATGTCACTCTGTCTCATCTCTGGACCTTTGTACAGGTTCTGCCCAGAAAGCCCTGTTTTCCTTTCTTGGTTTCTTCCCCTGAATCATCAGTTCTTGTTCGTAAAATCTCAACTTACCTATCGCTTCCCAGGAAAAGCCTTCCCAGAGCCCCCTGCTGAGTTTTCCATGGCACGTGACACTGAGGGTGCCCGGTGGCTTGTCCCACAAGCACCTTAACGGCAGGGACTGCGTTTGTCCATCGTTGTACCCTGGATTAGAGGACATAGTGGCAGAGGACGTCATGAGAGGCCCTGAAGTCTGTGCCCAGGTTCAGATCCCTGACCTGAACAGCTCCTTAACTTCTCTTGTTCCTCAGTTTATTCATCTGAAAAGTGGAGCTCATAATAGATTCTACCTTGTTAGGTGATCCTGAGGATTAAATAAGAAAAAAATAATGTCTTTTTTTTTTTTTTTTTTTTGCCTTAGCAAGGCATGTAGCAAGCACTCTATAAATGCTTGCTGTTTCTTTCAGTTTTATTTTTCAGTGAGATCCAAATATTTATATACAGAATTGCGTTTCCCTGAAAACAATGTAGAGACCTAAGAGGGAAACATCACCGATAACAAAAAGATTATCAACAATAATCACCCTCATAGGGAAAGTATATTTTTGAATAAATGAATGATTTATGTTTAAGCATAGTGAGTGAAGATATCACATTGTACTTAGAGTTATTTCTATTTTTAATTCTACGTAGTTTATCTTGTCTAATTAATTTATATTGTTATTTTAGTAAGTTGCTTCTACCAAGCTATCATTAACCAGGTTTAATTGTAGAATTAACGATATAAACTCTGCAGTCAGACTGCCTGGGATTTAAATATGGTTTATATGACCTTAGACAATATTTTTAGCTCGGTGCCTCAGTTTCCTCACCTGTAAATGGGGATAATAACAGCCCTTACTGTGAATTGTGATAAGGATTTACAAGGATAATATGCATGAAATAGACACTTAGTGCTAAAAAGAGCTCGGTGGTCACAGCTGTTGTTGTTATGATTATTTCTTTTTCGTTATGGCTTATCTGCCTCTGAGAAAGGCTCTGGGCAGGAAAGTTCCCAAGGCAACATAATTCACTTAATGGGAGTGACCCAAATTGTGGGGGCTTTGCACTTCGGCAGAAATAAGCAACTCATCCCGCAAAAGAGACCAATGAGGATATCAATTACCTTCCTTCAGGGGAAGAGTGAACAGAACGTGGTAGAGTTTGGACATAGCAGTAGGCAGATCTGGGAGAGAATCCTGGTTCTGCCACTTACTGGAATATAGCCTTGTGACGCTGGATAGCATCCTTAGTATTGGTTGAGTTCTTCATCCGTAAAAATTAAGATCTTAGCTTCTTCCACACAATAGCATGAGGATTCATGAGATAAGATCAGGGAAGGGACTCCACTCAGTGCCCTTCTTCCCCCATAGGGCAGGAGGTAAATCATTTCTTCTTAATAAACAGTGCACTGGACTCCAGTGACCGTCAATGCTATTTCCAATAAGTCTGGTAAAAATAGAAGGTCAAGTTGTTTTTCTCCCTAATTCGTTTAGTTCCGTGAAATCAGAGGAAAAATTTGTTCCCCCACATGTAAAAGTCAAAAAGCTTCAGAAATCCAGGAGAGTTTTCAAAAATCAAGCTTGATTAAAAATATAAAATGCAGTGTAGATAATTTTACAAAACAGCAGGGGCAATTGGAAAGCACTTATTAAAGTACCTGTTAAAGTAATTAGTGATAAAAATGGAAATTTCAAGGCACTTCTGTATCTCTTAGATCCCAGAATAGGCTCAGACTGTGCTGAATCACTTCCTCTCTCAGATCAGAGTCACAGAAAAAGACAAAAGAGAAGCTTCAAAGAGTTTTAGGATTGGGAGGCAGGTGTGAACCACTCTTAGGGACTGGCTCTTCCCAGGTCTGAGTGAGCTGAAGCCCTTACCATACATCCTGTTTCCCAACACCTGTCACTTTGCTGTTACATGTTAAATACTTCTGATTCCTTTTTGTTTGTTTATGTAAAGAGACCAAGGGATTTGGGAGCTTGACAGGGAGACCTAAGCCCGTATGGCCTGAATCTTTATTGCACAGAATATTATCTTACTTATATTTAACTGTGTTGCCACACTGACCCCTACCCTCACCGCCCCGTCTCCGTATCACTCTTCCTGTACCATGACCTCTTTTGCATATCCTGCCTTAAAATTGTCTGTTTTTTTCTCATCTGTGTGTCCGGGCACCTCATTCATATCATAGGCTCCACTAACGGGCTTCTTTGAGTCTGTTCATAGTTCATAGGCAGGACTCTTACATAGTAGATGCTTCATGAATGCTTCTTGTTGGACTAATTAGAGTGGAGACTCCTGAGGGCAAGGTCTGCTGTTTATATCCTCATCCATCATCTCGCTGGTCCTCTCCCAGCAGGACCTCAGGGCACTGTTAATGGAATTTCAAAAGATAGGACAGATTTGAGACACTCCAGTCATCAGTCTGAGCTGCAGAAGCCCCAAATAAACTTCCTAGTAACCAAACCAAATGCTCCCTTAGGCAGCCACTGGGTAATCTGGTTGTCATGGTAGCAGGGACCCTTGAAGAAGGTTTTGAATATAGCTGTGGAATAATTGTTTCGAAAGCGTGTATAACCTTGGATCCCGAGGAAGTAGAAAAGAGCCATGTCATATGCAGAGGCACCATCCACAGTGAAACGGAATGCATCAGAACGGGTCACAGAAAGACGGATATGCAGGGCAAGTCTGAACGTTGTCAGGGAAAATAATAATTGCATCAAGGACTGGTGTAGATGGCTAAAAAAAAAATTAGCTATAAAAATTTCAGACTCTGAAGTGAGATCAAATCTTGATGGACATATTTTTTAAAGGACCTCTAAGAGAATATTCGAAAGGCATGCTCTGTGTCGCATCAGCAAGATGACCGAATGCAGATATTACGTTTTATCTTTGTATCCCCAAATGGAAATTATGGCATAATTAATTAAACATCAGCTTTTATCCAAAAATATTTTGTCCTAGGCTCAAATTTTTGTGAATCTAAGAAAGGACTATATAATACTCAGTTACATAATACGCAGTTATGTAATGTTCAGTTTTATAATAAATTCTTAATGGAACAGAACGAAACCTCTGAAATGTGAACTAGGGGTCTGCCACAATATCTCTTGATGGGGTTTGGAAGGGCTGACGAAAAATCACACTTCTGAGTGTGGCAAAATGTAAATAAAAGTGTAAGTCTAGTGTGTGAGAAAGATACAACTGGGGGGTTTTGGGACGATCTTCTGGGGAGTAAAGCTTCCAAAGAAAAATTATCTTAATCAGGCTTCGAGTCATTTTAGGACATTTCCTTGGATTTCCTTTCAGAGCCTTGTGCATACCTGTGAAAACCGCCTTATTACCCAACAGAAGGAACAAGGAGATGTCTAATTCAAGCCATGTTTAGCACAAGTCTCTTAAATATATACCAAATCCACCACACACGTTTTCTACAGAGGATATCCAAGAAAGGTGAACTCACAGGAAAAGCCATGAAATTGGCAAAATCCAAAGATGCTCGTAGGATTTCAGAATTCCGTACTCCAGACTGGCTTCCCTTGTGCTGGGATAAAAGGGGATGAAACACACTGCCTGGGGACCAGCATGGGCTGAATTGAGGGAGCAGCGGTGGGGCTCTAGGAAGCTCTCCGGAAGCTGTGAGTTGAGGTCAGATCTCCAAGGTGGAGGCAGGACAATGTGAAAACAAAGCCACGGCTGACGAAGCAGTAAATTCTTCATCCAAGAAATCAGCCTAGGATCCAGGCCACAATGAGACAGGAAGGAAGGGGGCAGGGTACAACTATTAAAAGAATGACACAACATTGAGAAGAACAGGATACGCCGAAAACCGGTTAGAACCAGTTAGAACCGGTCCAAGATGGCAGAAGATTTGACTTCCAGTGGACCTTGAGCCTCCTCATCCGCTCACTGTAATGCATTAGGTAAGTGACACACCCGCGGGCGCCATGACAGTTCTGAGGCCAGCCATAAAATTAGGCCAAAAAGTGAGCGATGCCACAATTCTTGGAAATCCCTGCTCCTTCCCCCAAATAGCTGGAATAATCCCTCCCACCCTTTAGCCTGTGAAATTACCCAGCCCGGAAAAACTGACCACCCATATTTCGGTGCCGCCTCCCACCTTCTGAGACGGCCCACACTCTGTCTCTAAATAAACCTGCTTTCACTTTACTACGGCTCGCTCTTGGATTCTTTCCTGCACGAAGCCAAGGACCCTCACTTGGTGGCCCACCCCAGGGGCTCACTCAAGACCTAGGACACGACCATCCTCTCACGCCCCATTTTTCCTACAACTAGATCTGTGAGGGAGGGTGATTCCTAAACAAGGTCAAGTACAAATGAGCAGCCAGCCAAGATGGGGCAGTGAGAGCAGCAGCGCTCAGCAAGGGAGCAGGCAAGAGCGGTTGAGCATAGGCTCTGAGACAAGAAGTGACCAGGGGCAGCTGCTGGCATTGTGTCTCTTGGGGAGAGTGTTGAATGGCTAAAGATACCAATGGTGAGTGGGCAAATCCCAAGAAATTTTTCCACTCCTAAATACCCTACCATGCAGTTTTTTGAGAGTAGAAAAATACCTTCTGATGGGTGGTAGAGTGCATTAGGAATAGAATTCAGGGAAATGTGGTCGGTAAAGAAGTTGAGGCCTAGATCATTTGGCAATAGCAGAACTCATCACTTCATAAATAAAATAGGAATTCAGGAATTGTGGGCAGAGAAGCCATCCCATTTGACTGGGAGACCTTTTCCACGGGGGGAGAAAGAACTCTAGAGAATATGAAACAGGACAGGGTAGAATTCAGGATCGTGGTACCGTAGCATCTACCAAGCTTGAGTAAATCAAGGGGATTGAAGCAGATCAGATGAAAAACACTAATTCACATTCACCTTTTGTGGTGGAACCTAAATTACCCATGTCGGTAGTGTCCATTAATCAGATATATGCCATAGTCACTCTCATAATTTCTTTTTTACAGGTATTTGGTTTTCTTAGTTAGAGGGGAGAATAATTGTATGCATGATTATGGTATTAGCTTAATTCTCTCACCAGATCTGAATGAAGATAAGGGAGCGATGGTTAAACAATCCTTTCTGTATGTTCCTCTTTACATCTGAAATCCTGAAATGAAAAACTTCACACAATTCTTTTCAAACTTTAGGGAGTGCATCAGTAAATACAAAAGCTGCTCATCACCCTATTTCACTTGGTTTTTCCAGTATGGTTTCCCATGTTACCCACATTTCTCAGATAATCTGCTTTTTAACCTCACCTTGTGTCACTAAATAAGGACTCAGTGTCGCCCTGGCCTCAGCAATCACTGCTTTCCAGTCGTGACATCGTCTCGGTACTGAGCAAAAATCCAAAGGCAGAATTCTGTTAAATGCAACAAGCCTTCACTAAGCATCTGAAGAAGTGCAGCTCCGTGAGTGAGGAGAGATACAAAAAATGGCAAAGCAGCCCTCCAGCCCCACTCTGAAAGGCCAGGCACACCTTGGTCTCAGTCTCGGCTGCCATCGTTAGCTGGAGAGCTGCAGAGCCATCCGGGCTACTGTGAAAGGGGCCACTCCACCTCCATCCCACCAGATAATGCACAGCTGGTCTCAGGTGCAGTCCTTCTCGGCCTTGAATTACAGATTCAAAACCGTAAAATAGAAAAAAGAACTGGCTGACTGAAGGCAGATTAATCCACCAAAAATTATGACCCCAGCTTGTATTTCTGGCCCCGGCGGCTCTGGCATTGCCAGGTCCCCAAAGCTGACCATCGTATCTTACTCTGTTGTGAGGCATGTGTTCAGACTGTGGATTGATCTACACCATGGCTTGTCACACAGCTCCTCACCCCTGCCCCTGCATCGTGACACAAAGTAGGCCTCTTCTCCATGAAGCTGAAAATCCATGTGTGAATATGTGTTTCTGAATGTGAATATAATGTGTGTATATACATAATGTGTGCATGTGAATTTATGTGTGTATGTGTGTCTTTATTTAGTGACTGCTCTGTTCGCTATAGAGTGCTTATCTCAGAAAAGGGTGACATCAGCCAGTTAATATTAATCCTGATAACAAACAACCCCCCAGATGATTTATGGCGCAAACCCAGTGCAGGTTTCTTTCTCGTGGAAAGTCCAAAAGAGGTACTTCTGGTCCCAGGGCAGCTCTTTTCCATTGACTATTCAGAAATCCAGACTCCTCCTGCCTGCTGGCTCCATCTTCAACACGTGACTTCTGTGATTGCTGTGCTGAGTTGGCTGCATCAAACTGGTGGAAGGGGAAAGAGGGTGGAGCACCGCATATGGGAGATATTCCTGGGCCAGGACGGGTATCACTTTTGCTCATACCCCATCGGCTGGAACTACCCCTGTCACATGGCCACACCTAACTGCAAAGGGTGTTGGGAAATGTAGTCCAGCTGTGTGGCTAGAGGGTAGAGGGAATGGGTTCCATGACACCTAGCCAGCCCCTGCCACAGGGACAAAGCAGAAATCGAGGGCTTGGCCTGCATTCTCATGGAGCTGGTCACCCCATTAGGGAAATAGACCCTGCAATACAGGAGCAATTCAGCAATTACGCACTTCAGATAAAGGGCCAAAATGATGGAGGACATAATCCATCTGAGTGAGGAATCCACTGGGGGCTAGAGATGACAGACAACCCTACAGGCAGGTTTCAGTGCAATCCTGAATAGTGAGCAGGCTTCAGACAGGTGGGCAGGAGCAGGGAGAGTGTGCTATAGGCAGACGGACAAAAGCACCAGCTCAGAAGTGAGAGGGGCCCATTCTAGAGACAGTGAAACCAGTCTGGCAGGAAGGGAGGGGTGAACAGTTACCATGAAAGGAAGCATTTGAGTGAAAAGATCTCACTGGCCTTTAGTTTGAGAATGTGTGAGGCTGGGAGTCTCTATTTCTAAGACCAAGTGAAATCTCAGTTACTGAGATAGTATAAGAAGTGATGTGAGGTCAATTTCAAATCTATACTGAGTAATATTGTTCTCTCTCATGTCTAAACGCACACACACACACGCACACACACACACACACACACACACCAAAATCATGTCCGAGTCAAATCCAGGATTCATCCAGATTCGTAGGCTAAAGATTTCAAGTTTGAAAATTTTCAGGTGGGAGATTTTATCTGAATGGACACTTATTCAGTATACATGAACTGTAGGTAGGTAGTCATGTGATAGTGAATTTGCCCTCAAACTAAGCAGGTGGACTTCCTTGAAGAGGCAGGGGTACTCTCCTGTCAGTTATACTCTGTCAGTGATTTTAATTGATTTCCTTATGTATATATTCTACCTGAATTAAGGCCAGATAACATACAACACCAGTTTGAAAAGTAATATTCTCTCTCCCTCTCTCTATGGGAATTTATTTATTATATATGTATATGTAGAAAATATAAACCTTTCATAAAAATACTTATTATAAAAGTATAACACCTAATGTATTGTGAGCTTTTGTGGTTATTTAACCATGAAGGATGTTTATGTGAAAGGATGATATTTACCTTTTATTTTCTTACCTACAGCCTTAACACAGAAGTAGATTTTATTTTCCTCTAAGTCAGTTTTTATTCTCCTTACATACATGTAAACTATAACAACAAATGATTCCTTTGTACCTTAGCATTTAAGAAATTACCAACTCTCTTATTTGTAGTGAGGTGGATGGACCTAGAGTCTGTCATACAGAGTGAAGTAAGTCAGAAGAGAAAAACCAAATACCGTATGCTAACACGTATATATGGAATCTTAAAAAAAAAAGGTTCTGAAGAACCTAGGGGCAGGACAGGAATAAAGACGCAGACGTAGAGAATGGACTTGAGGACACGTGGAGGGGAAGGGTAGGCTGGGACGAAGTGAGAGAGTGGCATGGACATATATACACTCCCAAATGTAAACTAGATAGCTAGTGGGAAGCAGCCACATAGCACAGGGAGATCAGCTCAGTGCTCTGTGACCACCTAGAGGGGTGGGATAAGGAGGGTGGGAGGGTGACGCAGAGGGAGGGGATATGGGGATATATGTATATGTATAGCTGATTCACTTTGTTATACAGCAGAAACTAACACCATTGTAAAGCAGTTATACTCCAATGAAGATGATAAAAAAAAAAAAAGAAATTACCAACTCTCAGTTATGACAATTAATTGGTATAAGCCTATGTAAATTTCACAGTACTATCTTATTTATTATCCTTTCTGACTATGGCAATACCTCTCCCTACCTGAGAGGTAGGTTAAGTAGCTCCTTCCATCCCTTTGTAACAGGCAAGGAATCTGAGACAAAGAGGTTCAATTACATCCTGAGATCTGGTAAAATCTGTGCCTTCGGGCTGAAACTCAGGTCCCCTTGCCCTAGGATCTGTCCCCTCTCCTTCATGACTTCACTTATTTCAATGGAGAGAACTGACCATTTGCATAAAAATACCTAAAATAGAACCTCATTTAGGAGGATGGGTTTATATATACACATATTCATTCAGAAAGCAAAACAATGACATCATATATCTGGTAAGAAGTGTAACCATGAACTGAATAAGAAGTCAGATATCTAATCTATAAGGACTCTTCCCCCAAATCACATGGTATACCACTCAAAATCATCATTTCTTTTGTTGAATGTCATTTCCCGTAAATTCTTTGACTCTTTGCATATTGATAAATGTGTTCTTAAGTCTTAGAATGTTATCATTCTTTTGGCACTCTCTCAATCCTTAAAACCTGTATGTGGGTGGAGAAAATATAGACATCTTTTTCTTTATGGACTACAGCAAGCACCAGTTGGGTACTTACTGAGTACGACACGTTGTGTGACAGATCCCGGGGCTTAAAATGTCTTTGATTCTAGAGGGAGCTCGAGATAAGGATTATAAATATTGTGCAGAAACAACATCCTGGCTCTAGTTACCTATTGATGTCTTGGCATTGTTGGAGAAATTAGAATCTTCAAAATAATGGAAAACCAGATATCTAGGATTTATGTTCTTTTTGGTGAAAGTAACTCCACAAACACAAATTGAGAGAAGCAAGAGTATAAGTCTGAAGCAAATGATTTTAAGCTCTACTGATAAGAAGGAGAACTGATCCATAGCAGAAAAAAAAAAAAAAAAAAACCTGCCTTTATTCCTGCAGATGGTTGCAGTGCAATGCTACCAGAGTGCTTATCCTTCAGTAGGTGCTGAATAGATGTTTGTTGAGTGACTAACTAACCAGGTACGCAGGGCTTTCACACAAGTTCAACCTGAAGGAAAATGGGGAACAGTAAATATGGCTCATTTTAGTGGAGTTCACAGCCCTGCTGACAACATGGTGGATCTGCTGGGACAAACTGACCCTTGGGCAACCCCTGCACGCTAAGATGATCCTAGCATTAATTATTGGCAGAGAACTAGTCATCTCCCAGATCAACATCAGTATGCAGCAAGGCCTTTCCGGGGAAGAAAAGGAGTAGAAACACTTTTCAGAGATGAGGGAGGCATCTCAGCCACGTTATTTACTTATTCGATTCGATTTTTCAGTGTCTGAAGTCACAAAAGTTGTAACCAAGACAAACCAGGCTGTGAGTACCATTTTTAAAATGTCATCAGCCTAGCAGAAACATTAGACATAAATCACGAGTTTTATTGTATTTGCAATTAAAAAGATCAAATTTAATATCTACAGAAAAGCCTTAATAATTAGGATAAAGATTAATACAGTGAAATGTCCCTGGTTTAGCAGGCCACCCAAGCAAAGCTGAAATAAAGAATTGAGTATATAATCGAATAGCATGTGAATATTAATGCACAAAGCCCTCCAAGTCCCCAGATCCCTAATGCAATTATTTTCTATTCACATTAATTGTTCCTAACAGATGACATTAATGACTTTGAGTTAAAATGTGTGCGAGGGAAGATGTCACAAGATCAGTGCTGTTTAGAAATAAGGTCACTTTTATAATCATTTGCTCAGATTTTAACCACTACTCAACATAATAAGGTTAACATGGTGAATGCTTTTTAATGTGAGTATCAAAAGTTAATTTAATGTTAGTATCAAAAGCCAATAAGTGTATTGGGGTATTCACATTTTTCTTGCTGTTTCTTCTTCCTTACTACTTATTTTCCAACACATACCGACAGACTGTGAAAGTGTGATTATTGTTTATAATGTGTAATTGCACATGTGTATATATAGAACACTGATAAACTCAGATAAACTTTTTTGAGTTAGGATATGTTATCTAATCTAGAAATGTCAACTCTTTTGAGATTTACCTGTCCAAGGCAAGATTTGAAACAAACAATTAAATCAACACTGTTCAAAATTTCTGCCTGTTTTTACCCAGAAACTTCACTCACGCATCTTAGATCTTTCAACCGGGGATTTGCTCTCAGATGTGGAAAGAAGCCGGAGTCTGACGCACTCACGAACTGACGTTGAAATGCACGTGAGTTTCCCTGTCGCCTTCAGAACACTTGTTCAGGTTGTTCTTTTCCTTCCTTCCATCAGAAATGATGGCACAAGTGAACCATAAAGCGCATCCTTGAAGCACTGTCAGGCAGATTAAAAATACTTTCCTTTCTTGTGTTCTCTGCAATTCAATATCATGTCCCCCAGCTGACGAAGTAAGCAGAAAGCGTCACTCTCGGCAAAAATATCATAAATCTTGCCTCGTCCCCAAGATACCTTTTTGGGTATTGATTACATCTCAAAGTCTCTGAGAAATGGCCAAGGAGCTTTTTATTAAAGCCCATGTCCCATATTACTCATCCTACTTTTATGATATATTATGTATGAACTTTTAAAAATTCATGGTCTGTACTTTTTTTTTCTTCAGCTAGGGTTATCTTTGTGCTTATTTGGCAAAACTTTAACCAGCGTGGTTTTTAACTCTCATTGACATAAAAAAAGTATCTTAAAAAACACAAGAGCCAAATAAATATATAATGAAAAGTGTTAGGCTTAAAACAATGACAGATGGACATTTGTGGATGACTGGCCTTTTATTTTACTGTATAATTTTATAAGTGTAGCTAGGAGGGTCTATATCGAAGGTAAATATTCTCAAGTTAGATTGGAATTAAATGTCAGTGGAATGCTGTCACTTTAAACATTCATGAAGACCTTAATGGCATCCAATCTATAATATGGCCTTAAGATCAGGAGTTTTTTTAAGTTGCAGTTTTTATCCAAGAAATCCTTGCCTTCATTCTCTGTGTCTCTCTCCTTTTTTTAACTAAAATTATGGATTTTGTATTGCATTTCTCATAGTAAGGATGTTAAAGCATACGAGTGCTTCAAGGTGGTAATCTAAAATACACTATGGGAAAAAGACACTTTGAATAGTGTAAATGGTATACTTTGCCAATTAAATCAACACAATTAAGATAATTAAAAGATAAAACAACATACATCTTGTGGCAAAGAAGAATTTTAATGATTTTAAGAATTTTAATGATAATCATTATCTATTACTAATTACGACTCTTCTCAGGAGGATGTTTTGGAAGGAAGTCTGTATACGTGCAGGAGTTCTGCTGATTGTCAGGGGCCTTACTTGGAGCTATCTCATAGAGGCTGGGACCTGGGCCTGACATCAGAATGTTGTATTGACTGGGTGACCTTGGACAAGATTTGAACACCTCAGTGCCTCAGCTTCCCCTACTGGAAAATGAGAAAAAATGATGATTTTTTTCTATTTCTGAGAGATGTAGTGAGGATTAAATAAGATAATATATAAAATGTACGTAACACAGTAGCTGCTAACAGTTAGGAGCCATAACGAGGTCTCCGCTGCTTTAGCCCTCTTGCGTTCTTAAGTATTTGGCCGCGTGCCACGGCCACAGAAGAACATGGCGAAGGTGGAGAATGAGAATAGAGCAAAGTGCCTACTGGTGTGTCTCTGCAGAAGGTCACGTCAGTGACCCGTGGAAATAAAGTACACACACTTCTGGCTGTTTCTCATCACAGCGCCCATGTGTAAGACCACGATGGCATATTAAGAAGTGTAATGCATGGTCCCTTAGGGAGGCTATAAAGCATAATTTTGTTGAAAAGCCAAGACACACACATATTTAAAAAAGAAACATTTTTAGTAATAGTAGTAAAACCTGACAGTTACTAAGTTTTGCTGTCACTAATAGTTACTAAGTATCATTAAGCGAACTACTACTAATTGGCAGGGACTGTTCACTCTTCACATTGATCTTATGTGGTAGGTGCTTTCATTATCTCCAGGTAGAAAGAAGGAAACTGAGGCATGGAGGAGTTAAATAATTTTCCCAAGGTCAAAGAGTTAGCCAGTGAGAGAGCCAGGATTTAAACCTTATAAGTGGCCTTGATGTTCAACCGCTCAATCACAGAACAGTTATTTATTGGAGCAGGTAATCCTACATGATAATCATGTGCTGATGAGGGAAGAAACTTCAGGACAGAGGAGCTCACTTTTCAGCCATGATGTCAGAGATTCTGGGTCGCTTATTAAATTCCAACTTTGGTTGCCCAAGGTCAGGGAAAGGTGGGAGAATTTACCAGTAGAGAGGACTCGCCCCTTCCTCTTCTTGGCAAAGAATTACTCTGTAATCACCCCACCACACACACACACACACACACACACACACACACACACACACACACACA